TTATTTGAGCTCGACCTTTCAGCTTAAACAAGTCACTCCCTTAACGTACACACAGCACTACTTTACTTCCAATATGGAAACACAAATTATACAGTGGAACGTCAGAGGACTGCTTAGGAACCTCGACGACGTTCAAGAGCTTTTATACAAACACTCACCTCAAGTGCTGTGTGTACAGGAAACACACCTAAAATCCTCCAATACAAATTTTTTACGCGCTTACGTCATATACCGAAAGGACCGAGATGATGCTGTTGCGTCATCCGGTGGCGTAGCCATTATTATTAACCAAGGAGTAGCGTGTACACATTTACCACTCCAAACATCCCTTGAGGCAGTGGCTGTTCGAGCGGTACTTTTAAACAAACTCGTCACCATTTGCTCTTTGTATGTACCTCCCCACCACCGTCTTGAAAGACGTGAATTTCAGTCTTTAATAGACGAACTGCCTGAACCCTATTTGCTTCTTGGCGACCTAAATGCACATAGTGGACTCTGGGGCGATTCTCGCTGTGATGCACGAGGTCATCTCATTGAACAATTTCTCTTCTCTTCCGGTGCCTGTTTGTTGAATAGGAAAGAGCCAACATACTATAACGTTGCCAACAAAACTTACTCGTCTATAGACCTCAGCATCGTATCACCTTCACTCCTACCCCTACTGAAATGGAAAATCATAAATAATCTGTATGGAAGTGACCATTTTCCTGTAGTGTTGAGTTCACAAACAACATATGAATGTCCTCTACGTGTTCCCAAATGGCTGATAAACAAAGCAGACTGGGAACAGTTCCACAACACTACACGTTTGAGTTGGACAGACATATGTAGGTTAAACAAAGATTAAGCTGTGAAGTACTTCACAGCTTTTCTAACTGACGCCGCAGCCAGGTGCATACCGCAAACATCTGGAATGCCCGGCAAACGACACGTCCCATGGTGGAACACGGAGTGTCGTAATGCGCGAAAGGAACAGAACAGGGCATGGAGATTGCTGCGCAACTCGCCAACAGCGAAAAATCTTGACACGTTCAAGAAAATAAAGTCTCAAGGAAGGAGAACGCGTCGGCAGGCCAGAAGAGAAAGCTGGCAGAAGTTTTTGTCAGGGATCAATTCATACACACAGGAGGCAAAAGTCTCGAACATGGTCGGTAGGATAGCAGGGAAACAAGTACACACACTTCTACTCGTAAACACTCAAGGTGATACCTTGGAAGATCAGGCAAACTTCCTCGGGGCACACTTTGAACGGGTACCCAGGTCGTCCCACTATACTGACACTTTCCAAAAATACAGAACAAGAATAGAAAAGCAGAAACTCGAACACAAATCCACTAGATACGAGGCATATAACCAAGCTTTTTTTTTTTTTATTCACATACCCTAAAGGCCCTTGCCGGGCATTACATAGGGGGGGGGGGGGTTACAGTAAACGGGATGAGGGTTAGGTTACATTTGAACAAATAAACAGTTGGTAACACCACTAAAGCACTCCGTTTTTTTTTTTTTTTTTTTTTCATACAATATTAGGTGAGCTTTTTAACATTTCTACAAAGGCGTCGAAGTTTCTTACAGACACAACATCATGTGGTAAGTCATTCCAAAGACGGAGTGCGCACAACAGAGGCGAGTTATAGAAGATGTTGTACGCGCATATGGAACTAAAACTTTGAAGGGGTGATCTAGGCGCGGAAATAGTGATGGGCAGGCAATATGTAAGTGGTAGCAAATGACGAATGATTATGATAAAGTTTGTGAAAATGGGATAGCAGGGCCAGCACTCTTCTTTTCTCTAGTAATGGGAGGCTCAGTGATGCTTTGATATTAGTGATGCTCGAATGACGCAAGTAGTTTCTGGTTATGAATCGGGCAGCTTTATTTTGCATGGATTCAAGTTTGTTAATTAAGTAAATTTGATGTGGGTTCCAAATGAATGAAGCATATTCTATTTTAGACCGAACAAGGGAGGTGTATGCTGTAAGTTTTGTCTTCCAGTTAGCTTGATGTAAGTGGCGTCTAATGAATCCAAGTGTTTTAGATGCTTTAGATGTTATTGCGTCAATGTGGGCATTCCATGACAGGTCGGCGGAAAGATGGACGCCTAAGTACTTTATTGATGAAACGTGTTCTATTGGCATTGCATTAATGAGATAGGAATTGATCGGGGGCTGGGTAGTATTCGTAAAAGTTATAACTTTTGTTTTGGAAGCGTTAATTTTCATTTGCCATTGATCGCACCAAGTAGCGATGCTATCAAGGTCTTTTTGTAAAGCAGTGTGGTCGTTTGGGTTAGTAATCTTTCTATAAATCACACAGTCGTCGGCAAATAAGCGAGTAGTAGATGCCAGGTTTTTAGAAATGTCGTTAATGTAGATGAGAAACAGTATCTGTCCAAGTACAGAGCCTTGGGGTACCCCGGATTTAACTTGAATCAATGTAGATGAACAATCATTTACAGTCACGAATTGATAACGATTACACAAAAAGTTATTTATCCAAGTGGTAACGTTTCGGTTTATCTTAAGGCAGTCTAGCTTCATTAATAGACGACTGTGGGGAACTTTGTCAAATGCTTTGGCAAGGTCGATAAATACGGCATCAATTATTGTAGACGCATGAACGGCATAATGGAGGTCAGTAACTAATTCGAATAATTGTGTTTCGCATGAACGCCCGCGCTGGAAACCATGTTGGTTAGGAATAAAGTAATTTTGCTCGGTTAAGTACGTCATTACTGCAGATGATATGATGTGTTCTAATAATTTGCAGGGTATGCTGGTGAGTGAAATGGGCCTGTAATTAGATGGCATCGATGAATCACCGGATTTAAATATCGGCGTCACGCGAGCGATTTTCCATGTGTGAGGCACACATCCAGTGTCAATTGACTGCTGAAATAAAGCTACAAAAATACGGGATATGACTGGCTTAGTAATTTTAAGTAACTTCGGGCATATACCATCTGGTCCAGGGGATGAATTGTTTGCAAGACGTTCAATAGCCGATTCGATACCTTCCGGAGTGATCACGATGTCATTCATTGTGGCGTTAATGGAGTCAAATTTTAAATCGGCCGAAATGGGCTCCTCTTCAGTGTAAACAGATCCAAAGAATAAGTTCAGTTCTTCTGCAGCCTCTGACGGTGACAACAGTTTATCGTCTTTAGTTAGATGAATTGGCTGTCCCGAACATTTCCTAGGATTTACCACTTTCCAAAATTTTTTAGTATTGTTTGTTAGCAGCGCAGGTAGATCCTCATTAAAAAATTTGTCTTTAGCTGTTTTTATTTCTCTGTCGCATATCTTTGCATAGTTTCTGTACTCTTCCCATGCAGCATCGGTGCCCGAGAATCTTGCCTTAGAATACAAGCGCTTTTTTTGTTGATGCACCGCTTGACATGCGAGGTGAACCATGAGTTGTGAGTCGAAGATGTGATTGTAATTGTAGGAATGTATTGGTTTTTTAGTTGCATGAGTTTCTCGTGAACGATTCGCCAGTTTTCATTCGTGTCACGAGAATGGAGGCTGGTGAGAAAGTGATCAGAGAAAGACGACAGGTCGGACAGAATGTTCAGTACGTCAGCTCGTTTGTAGTCGTACAATACTCTCATCTGTTTTTCTGGTTTTACCACTTTTATCATGGCCTCGCAGTGTAGAACATTGTGGTCACTAATACAATCTAGTACGTGGACGCGCATATTCTCAGGTTCAGTAGTGAGCACTAAATCAAGAACAGAACTTCCGCGTGTAGGGACAGAGACCATTTGAGTCATGTTAAATAATGAAAGTGTATCAAGGAAATCAATACATTCATTTCTTCTTGTACCACCCGTAGGTGTGCATGTCCGCCAGTCTATTCCCGGATAATTAAAATCACCGGCTAATATTATTGGTGATGTTGGATGTTTGCATTGAACAAAACTAAGTGAGTCATTCAAATTATCGACAAACTCGATAGAAGCGTCTGGCGGACGATAGCATACCCCGACAATACAAGTTTCACCTGCTGACAGTTGCAGTACAATCCACAAAATTTCTAAGTGTGCGTCTGTGTCTAATAGTTGCGCCTTAAAATGACTTTTTACGGCAATCATTACGCCGCCACCCCGCTGGTATGACCTGTCCTTTCTGAAAATATTGAAATCAGCAGACAGAGCGAGTTCGCCGTTCGATACATCAGCATTTAACCACGTCTCCGTACCGAGAACTAGATCCGCAGTGCAGCATTCAACGATTGTGGCAAGTTGATCTTGTTTGTTCAAGATGCTGCGAAAATTACATACAACGAGAGATAAGGTATGCGCACAACGATTCCTGCGTCAAGCCGTGTTTACACGTGGTTCGTGCCTTGGTATTTGAACAATTGTGCTGTCATTAGTATTCCCTAATCCGTACAATCTATTTCCCAGGAGAACCTTATCAAAGAGCAGCTTATACTTTTCGCCAGGCTTTCGTTCTACTTTTACGAAATCGCGAAGTTTCTTTCTTATCATCTGTATCCTTGGCGAGAAATCCTCCTCTACCCAGACTCGAGGGGAAGATTTCTGTAGCTTGTAGGCGTTTCTTAGAATGCTACTCTTATCTTTGAAGTTCAAAAATTTCACTACAATCGGCCGAACTCGATCATCTGTGACTCGCCCTACTCTGTGGGCACGTTCTATTTCACCTGATTGAATTCCAAGATGCTGTGTGACAAATTCAGATACTATTTTTTCTGTGTCCTTCCATTTTTCTGCTGTCTGCTCCGGAATACCTTTGAAGACTAGGTTATTCCTTCGCATTCTGTTATTCAGATCGTCGACCAGTAAATCTGCTTGCTCTGTCTGTTTCGTTTCAAGGCTTTTCAGCTGGGCGTGTGATTCTTGTAGGACCTCGTTCACGCTTGTAACGTCTTTACGTAAGACGTCTATAACGTCAAGTCGCTCTTCTATTTTCGAAAGTCGCCGTTTTGTATCTGTAATAGTCGTTTGAAGGTCCTTCAACTTGCTTGAAGTTTCTTTCTGGAATTTGTCAATTGTCTGTCCTATATCTTTCACCAAAACTAATAGCTGCTCTACTTTGTCAGGCCCTGGATTTGTTTCGATGTCACCAGCGCAAAGCAGTATGTGTGCAACACTGAACAAAACTACAAGTAGACGGCATCCTGGTCTCCAGTAACCAAAAAACGCCGTTGAACGGAGCCAGACAGCGAATTGCTGTTTGAGTTGTATGTGGCGCGCAAGGAAGCGTCCTATGCGCGCGCGATACGTACACACATCAACACCCATAGCAAACAAGAAATAATAGAAAGTTGGGATTTGCAGCCAGTGACAATGGTAATAATCGAGGTGAAAAAAGGTGCTACACACTTACCTACACAAGGTAAACAGCCACCGTTAACATCGAGTACACGGCCGCAAATCCCGCAAGTCCGTCGTCGCCGCAGCTACTTGTAGGTAACCATGGACCACGGGGTGCCGCACTTGTCGATGCCGTTGACAGCGCAGTGCGAAGGGGAGAACGCACGCGCGATATTTTCAGATGACAGGCCCAGATCCAAGGCCTCTAGATTGGTGATCCGCTATTTGCTCGCAATCAGAAGAACTGGTGCAGCATGCGCAGATCAAGCGTCTTTCAACGATAGCTGGGCTCGGCGTTGTACAGCAGTTGCGTGGTCCACCTACACAAGGTAAACAGCCACCGTTAACATCGAGTACACGGCCGCAAATCCCGCAAGTCCGTCGTCGCCGCAGCTACTTGTAGGTAACCATGGACCACGGGGTGCCGCACTTGTCGATGCCGTTGACAGCGCAGTGCGAAGGGGAGAACGCACGCGCGATATTTTCAGATGACAGGCCCAGATCCAAGGCCTCTAGATTGGTGATCCGCTATTTGCTCGCAATCAGAAGAACTGGTGCAGCATGCGCAGATCAAGCGTCTTTCAACGATAGCTGGGCTCGGCGTTGTACAGCAGTTGCGTGGTCCACCTACACAAGGTAAACAGCCACCGTTAACATCGAGTACACGGCCGCAAATCCCGCAAGTCCGTCGTCGCCGCAGCTACTTGTAGGTAACCATGGACCACGGGGTGCCGCACTTGTCGATGCCGTTGACAGCGCAGTGCGAAGGGGAGAACGCACGCGCGATATTTTCAGATGACAGGCCCAGATCCAAGGCCTCTAGATTGGTGATCCGCTATTTGCTCGCAATCAGAAGAACTGGTGCAGCATGCGCAGATCAAGCGTCTTTCAACGATAGCTGGGCTCGGCGTTGTACAGCAGTTGCGTGGTCCACCTACACAAGGTAAACAGCCACCGTTAACATCGAGTACACGGCCGCAAATCCCCCTTTCAGTCTAGCGGAGCTTCGAACATCTCTAAACTCCTGCAGCACTTCTGCCCCAGGTTCTGACCGTGTGGTGTATGAAATGCTAAAAAACCTACCAGCCGAAACACGAAAAACCCTACTTTGTTTGTACAATGCTATCTGGTTTTCTGGCACTATCCCTACCTCCTGGAAAGAGGCTATTATTATTCCCATTTTGAAAGAGGGCAAGGACCCTTCTTTAGCTTCAAGTTATAGGCCTATTGCACTTAAAAGCTGCTTGTGCAAAGTATTCGAAAAAATGATAAACTGCCGACTTGTACATATCCTTGAAACAAACAATTTGCTCGACCCATTTCAGTGCGGGTTTCGAGAAAGTAGACCCACCACAGACCACCTTGTTCGTATCGAGGCACAGATCAGAGACGCCTTTGTCCATAAACAATATTTTCTCTCTGTGTTCCTCGATATCGAAAAGGCGTATGATACAACATGGCGTTTTGGAATCCTAAGAGACCTGTCCCACCTTGGTGTGCGCGGAAGAATGTTTCATATAATTGAAAGTTACCTGTCAAACCGGACATTCCGTGTCCGTCTGGGCAGTGTGCTCTCTCAAACATTTGTCCAGGAAACAGGCGTGCCACAAGGTGGCGTGCTTAGTTGCACACTTTTTATTATCAAAATGAATTCTTTGCACTTGTCCATTTTCCGCAATATGTTCTATTGTACATATGTCGACGACGTTCAGCTTGGGTTCAAATCATGCAACTTGGCCATGTGTGAGCGGCAGGTTCAGCTGGGTTTAAATAAGGTCTCCAAATGGGCAGATGAAAACGTATTTCAACTTAACCCACAAAAAAGCACGTGTGTCTTGTTTTCTCGAAAGAGAGGCATGCACTCGGAACCTGACATTCGACTGAACGGGCAACGTCTGTCTGTCAAAGCCGAGTATAAATTCTTAGGCTTAATCTTGGACAACAAATTAGCCTTCGTACCGTACATCAAGTATTTAAAAACAAAATGTTTAAAAGCCATGAATGTTATTAAAGTGTTGTCACGTACTACGTGGGGTAGTGATAGACAATGCCTCATGAACCTCTATAAAAGCCTCATTCGCACCCGCTTAGATTATGGGGCCGTTGTCTATCAGTCTGCTACTCAAAGTGCCTTGAAGATGCTGGACCCCGTGCACCATTTGGGCATCCGCCTTTCTACGGGTGCTTTTCGCACCAGCCCCGTAGAAAGCCTTTAAGTTGAGTCAAATGAGTGGTCGCTTCATCTGCAAAGAACCTACATGTCCTTTGTATACTTCCTTAAGGTGAAAGCAGACAAGAGGCACCCCTCATACTCTACTATTATTGACTTGTCGAGCTCCATTCTTTTTCAAAACAGGCCTTAAATGAGCCAGCCCTTCTCAGTTCGCCTGAAGGGTCTAGCTGAGGACACTGGAGTGTCACTCGAACACAGTTTAATGGCTCCTGTAGCATACCCGCCACCGTGGCAGTGGCAGACTATAGACTGCGATGTGTCTTTTCTAGAAGTTACAGAACATGCGCCCATTGCCCATATCCGAACAGATTTCCTAGAACTCAAACTCAAATACACACGTCCTGAGTTTTTTACAGAAGCCTCTAAGTCTAACTCCTCTGTGTCCAACGCTGCTGTTGGCCCTTCCTTTTCGGATGCTGGCCCTCTACATCCAGGTACAAGTATCTTCACAGCGGAAGCTTACGCGATACTTGTGGCAGCTAAACACAATAAACAATTACAAATACAAAAAGCAGTAATTTATACAGACTCCCTCAGTGTGGTAACGGCTCTACACAGTCTTACAAAACAAAAAAACCCTGTCCTTGTCTCACTTTACTCCATATTTTGCACACTCTACACACTCAACCAACATGTTGTGGTGTGCTGGGTGCCAAGACACCGTGAGATCCAAGGCAACGCGAGGGCGTATCAGCTCGCTACATCCGTCCACAAAAACACTGCCCCTACACCCATATCAATCCCGGTCCTTGATCTGAAGCACTCTCTCAAACGAAACCTCAGGGACTACTGGCAGAGCAAGTGGGATACACACACACAAATCAAACTACACGTTATCAAGCCACACCTTGGCCATTGGCCACCAGTATCAAAATCACGTCTAACAGAGGTAACAATAACAAGACTCAGGATAGGACACATATACACGACACACACACATCTTTTGTCTGGTGGTGATCCACCATTGTGTGATAAATGTGGTGAGGCATTAACAGTTCTTCACGTTTTAATTCAATGCAAACATTTAGACACTCTAAGAAGACAACACTTCCCACTATCCTACCGACAACATATACCTTTACACCCTGCAATGTTCGTCGGTAGGGAACCGCTTTTTAGTCACAAATCATTATTAGCGTTTTTAAAGGAAATTCATAATTTTCATATCAGATACCCGGGCATACCGTAGCACGACCTCTCTAGAGAGGTTTTTGCTGCGGTGGCTACACAGGAAAGCACTTGCCTCGCGGCCCTTGCACGCAGGGGTACTAACGTGTGAGGTACTTGTGCTAATGCCATACATGTCCACCATCGTTTTTCATTATCACCAACTTTTGTCACCTATTCACACCATGCACACCTTTCACGGCATAGTCATGATTTTATTACTTGTATGTTTTTACCCGCTTTACTGCGAGGAATTTTATGGCCCCTATACAGCCGCTAATCACAAGCATTGTCCACATTCCTGTCTCATGAACTGGCGCTCTTTGGCCATCAAATGGCCCTTGCGCCAAAAAACACTATATATTGTTACGTGGAAAATAACAGTTGTCGGTCCGCAGACACAACGCAGCTCACTCACAACGTCCAGTTCTTTACTCTCAGTCCGAGGCACCTTCCTTGGGTATGCCCCACTATGCCCTCTTTCAGTCAGACGAAATCACGTAACACGACCCCCGGCGGCAAAAGCGCCGACCCGGCGAGTTTACGGGGCCACAGCAGGAGCAGTGTGGTAACGCTTGAGCCTTGATACGTGGACGATGTCCCTTGACAGCAGAGCGGAAGAGGTTGATGGACTATCAGGGACAATTTCATATGTAGTGTCGGTCACTCGTCTAAGCACGCGGTATGGGCCCGTGAAACGAGAGAGAAGTTTTTCTGACAGGCCTGCATGTCGCGTAGGGGACCAAAGAAGAACGAGGGAGCCTGTTGGAAAGTGTTCGTCGCGATGCCGCTCGTCGTAACGATGCTTCTGCGAGTCTTGGGACGCCATTAATCTGCTGCGGGCAAGCTGACGAGCATGGTCAGCTCGGGTAATAGCGTCGCGTGCATATTCAGAAGTATACTGCACAGCGGCTGGCAGGAAGGTATCCAACGGCAATGTTGGTTCGCGTCCAAACAGAAGGTAAAATGGCGAGTACCCGGCAGTGTCATGCCGGGAGGAATTGTATGCGAACGTCACGTAGGGTAGTGCAAGGTCCCAATCACGATGGTCGGCCGAGACGTATTTCGATAGCATGTCTGTCAAGGTGCGGTTTAAACGTTCTGTAAGCCCGTTTGTCTGGGGGTGGTACGATGTCGTGAGCTTATGTTGGGTAGAGCAGGAACGCAGGATATCGTCAACCACTTTCGAAAGGAACGTACGGCCTCGGTCTGTCAGCAGTTGACGAGGGGCTCCATACACTAAAATGAGATCGCGTAGTAGAAAATCAGCGACGTCTGTAGCGCAGCTTGTTGGCATGGCTCGCGTAACTGCATAACGGGTCGCGTAATCCGTAGCCAACGCGACCCACTTGTTTCCGGAGGCGGATGTTGGGAAGGGACCGAGAAGGTCCAAACAAACACGGAAGAATGGCTCCGATGGGTTTTCGATGGGCTGAAGATATCCGGAAGGTAGTCTCGACGGCTTTTTGCGACGCTGGCAAATTTCACAAGCGTTGACATAGCGACGTACAGAACGTGAAAGGCCAGGCCAGTAGAAGCGGCGGCGTACACGGTCATATGTGCGAGAGACACCAAGGTGACCCGCGGTTGGCGCGTCATGGAGCTCGCGTAGGACTGTAGAACGCAGGTGCTTTGGTATGACCAAAAGTAGGTCGTGACCATGGGGCGATAAATTAAGCCGATATAAGGTGTCGTCCTTTAAGGTAAACATGCGAACGGAAGCGTCTTGCGGTGAAGATTCGAGCTGTTGTATTAGGCGGCTGATATCCGGATCGCGACGCTGCTCGTCCCCGAGATGAAGCAGCTGGGAGGTGGAAAGGATGCAGCCCACAGAATCAGTGCTCGTAGGATCGCAGTCGGCCACAGGGTAGCGTGACAGACAATCCACATCTTTGTGCAGTTTTCCTGATTTGTACACTACGGTGTAAGAATACTCCTTGAGGCGGAGTGCCCAGCGGGCGAGACGACCTGTGGGATCTTTGAGGGAGGCGAGCCAGCAGAGAGCGTGGTGGTCGGTAAGAACTATAAATGGTCGGCCGTATAAGTAAGGGCGAAATTTCGCGACTGCCCACACCAGCGCTAGGCATTCGCGCTCTGTGATGGAATAATTACGCTCCGAGGTGGACAGCAGCCTGCTGGCATAAGCTATCACGCGATGCTGCCCACGTTGTCGCTGAGCCAACACAGCGCCTATTCCGTAACCGCTGGCATCGGTGCGCACTTCCGTCGGTGCCGTAGGGTCGAAGTGAGCCAGCACAGGAGAAGAAGTGAGCCAAGTGGTCAGGTCGGAAAATGCTGCTGCTTGCGAGGGACACCAGGTAAACGTCTCATCCGGTTTGAGTAAATCTATTAGGGGCCGAGCGATTTCCGCGAAGTTCTTAATGAACCGCCGAAAATAGGAGCAGAGCCCCACAAAGCTGCGGACATCTTTGGCGGTTTTTGGCACAGGAAAGTCCTTCACAGCTCGAACTTTTTCTGGGTCAGGCTGTACAACGTAAGCGTCAACAATATGTCCAAGTATTGTAATGCGACGGCGACCAAACCGGCACTTAGATGAATTCAGCTGAAGGCCGGCGA